AAAAAAAAAAAAAAAGATTCCTTAACCTAAAACGACGTCATTTTGGGCTAAGGGCTTCTTAATGCCCTGCCACTACAATTTCAGATACTGGTACACAAAAATTGTCTGTACAACTCAATTCAAATTAAAAAAAAATAAATTCCATTTTTGATCATCAACTTTAATGTTATATAGAATTTTCATTTTTTAACTTTTTTATGTACTTTCTTAGTTCATTTTTTTATTTTTTTTAGTCTTTCTATCAATTATTTTGTTAAATTTGTCTAAATATACACATTTTTAGTTCCTTAATTTAAAGTGAATGGACGAAAAATATACATATATTAGAAGTTGAGAGACTAAAAATGCTTATTTTAAACTTATTTTTAATTTATAAGAATATTATAGTTTTAAATATTAGTATCTCTTATCTTATTTTAAAATTTGATATTTAATTTATAAAAATATATTTATAGCGATAAATCCGAAACACTACACGAAAAATTTCAGTATCCGGTACGTACCATTTCAATAGCAAAATCGATAGGCACTACTTTGGTATTTACCCTTGTTTGTGAGTAGAGATAGATTTGTAATCGAACTTTCATTAGGGGCTGATTTACTGATAGTGTCAAAGTTAGGGGGCTTTCTAAATCCTAATTCGCTCCCTAAGTTTCATTTAATTTTTTGGAAAATAGGCCATGGAAAGTTGTGATTTATATATTTTTAGTATACGTGTATGGGCAAACGAATCCCTAGTCCCAAATCAATATCTGTCGTCTCTCGTTTTTGTGAGAATGGCGGCATCATCGTCCTCTGCTACCTCCTACTCAGATTCCTCCTCTGACACGTCCTCTTCCCACAGCAAAAGACGCCGGCACCGTAGCCGCCGAGAGAGAGACAGGGATTCCCTCAAGATCCGTAAGAAAAGTCGGTCCCATACGAAGCGGCGTCGCAGAAAACACCACCGCTCCTCTTCCTCAGATTCGTACTCATCTTACTCCGACAACGATTCCTCCAGGTTAAATAAAAGAACCCAATTTGAATTTCGTAGAGAAAATCTTACACATATGTTTACATATTTGTTGTAATTTTTTAAAATTTGAATTGCCTAATTTGATGAGTGTTTTATAATATCCTGTAAAATTTGAGAAAGAAAAAGATTTTCTTCCTAGAACAAGAGGAAAATGACTTATTGTGGTGTGTTTTATGGTGTTATATTGATTTGGGTATTGTTGAAATCATCATCTTGTCAGGGTTTGGGGCAGTAGGGTTGATACTTTATGGTATAGATGCTTTGCTTGCTTGTAGTGAAATTCCTTTTTAAAAATTTTTTTTTTCTTTTAAGTTAAGGAGTAAATTTTAAGTGCTGTTTTATAAAAAAAGAGGGTCTTTGGAAGGTGATAGTCATGTCAGACCAGGGACTTTAACCAGTCCTTCTATGGCATTAAGTGCACTTGAGGCTTAATTCAATATCTGATGTTGTAAAAAGAATGGTATTACTAGTTAGTAATCCTATTAAGCAAGTTGCTTTGCATGTATGTTATTTTGGTTGCCATTAAGTGTTTTGTGCACCAGTAACTTTTAACACAAAAATTAATCTGATGGGTTTTCCTCAAACCATTTGTTGAATTATTGTAGAAGTTATGGCCCATCTGACGGTGAGCATGAGAATTCTAATCATTCAAAGAGGCATAAGAAGAATGACAAGCCGAAGAAGGTGGTTTTTGATGGTCCATTTTCTCCTCCTTTTTTAAACAACTTTGTATGTTCTTGTTCGGCTGACTCTTTTGCCTTTTAGGCCAAGGAAAAGGATCGAAGCAAGAGTCATAGACATAAACGTCATAAGCACAAAGTTAAAGAGGTAGCTACTCACTTTGTGGCAGTATAGACTCCTTTTGTTGTGGTTGTCAGTTGTAATTGAGTTTTTAGTTTATTATCTTCATAATATCTTCATTCCTATGAACTGAATTATGCTACCTGTTTATTCAAAAGATGGTAGTTGTAGTTTTTTCAGTTTATCCATTTTGGTGTTTACCATATACATTAATATTGGGGCATTATAAAGTTAGATAAAAGGCTTATATCATGATGCTTCTGAGGTGCTTATAATACTTTCTGCCATTTTCATGGATTGGCTCTTTGAAATTGGAGCTGGGGTCTGTGACATGATGACTGGGTGCTATTGACTTGCCTGGATTTTTTTCTGGGTCTGTTTGTTCTGGCAATCGGAGCTATATATAGAAGCAGCAGGATGAGGGAACTAGTAGCCCTGTTCAGCTTTCCAAGGTACTCGATGGCATTTGGGTGATTTAAGTGTTGAGTTGCTAGATTCTCTTGCCTTGCCTTTTTATTAAAGCTTTGTGCATTTGATACAGTTTTTGGGGCGTGACAAGGATGATGGTGTTCGCCGCAGTGCTGTCTCTGGCAAGAAGGTGAGGCTTTCTCAAAGAATTGACAATATGCAAAGTTGGATATTTTGCTTCTACTCATTTTCCATTTTACCCTTTTGATTTGGTTTCTTTGCAGATTCTATTGAAACTTGAGAAATCAAAGGAGGATAAAGAAGCTGAAAGTAAAAGAAATGAATTGCTCAAGTTCTTGAATGCCAGTTTCGATTGATTTATTAAAGCTCTATATGAAGTTGATTAATAGGGCGTCAATGAATTCAAGTGGGTTCCTAAGCTAAAGATTACATTTTTGTGATGTGTTATCATTATTCGCGAGGAATGAACAACATAAGGTGCTAAACCATGTTTTCAACTTTTGAACTACGGTCGTTTCTTGCCAATCAGGGTGTCGTATTTTATGGACTTGGTGCGTCCTTGAATACATGGAACTGTTTGATCAATTTAAAAAAAATTCAGAACTTAAGTTTAATATTTGAGCTATTAATTATTCTCTTTTATCACTTTGATTTAAAAATTTTATGTTCTAAAGTTTTTTTTTTTTTTAAATGGAATTTTATGTTTGTGGCTATGCTCTAAAGTACCTTTTCCTTTTGTATTTATTATGTGGTGTTGATATTCTTATATATATATATATATATTTGTATAATCTTAATAAAGTACTTTCACGTTTGTTTAGGCTTGTAATGTATTTGGATTGAAGGAATAGAAGGAATAGAGAGGGAAGTAAAACAATTTTTTATTTAATTATTAAAAAATTTGAAGGGAAAAGAAGGGCCAAATTTTATTTTTATTTTTATTTAATTATTTATCTAAATAAAAAGAAGGGAAGAAGGGAAATAAAGGGAAAATTCTCTTTTCTTTTCTTTTTTTCCCTTCAATTAAAATATAGGGTTAGTCTACAAAAAAATATTTATTAATAAGTTCAATTTTTGAGATTTTTAAAGTATCTTTTAACTCATAATTAATATAACAAAATATTTTGCATTGTAAATTATAAAACACTAAACTCTCAACGTAAACTCTTCTGCTTCTCTAACATTCTTCTCATGCAATTGACATTAAATCTCTTTTTCTTTTTTTTGAGTAAATCATTCAATCTTTTTTATCACTACTAATCATTCACTTTAATTTTCTTAAAACAATATGATCTCCATCTTCTAGTCGTGAAATTTCCATTTAGAAAGCTAGCAGCTCTGTCATTTATAGACTACTACTTTAATAAATTTTTGTTTTGATATATGATTAAATTATTTAATTATTATTAATAAATTAAAATAAAAATATTTTAATAAATTTATAAATGTAAATTTACTTGTAGAACACATTTTTTATGTCAAATTTGTTTGGTACTAAGAACCAGTACTACTAATTCGAGGGCATTATGGTCATTATGTTCGCCTTTGATCAATTGTTTCTGTATAAAGGGGCATTTCATTTCAGGCCTGAGGCAGACGCCGATTCATGTGATTAGGGTTTTTCAAGTTCATCTCTTTTAGGCCGCGAATTCTTTGACTTTCGTTTTAGATTTTCTTTCCGAGGAAATGGAATTGATTTCTCGCACATAGTTCTTCCTGGGAATCCACAATGATTTCCAGGATTTTATCTGTGCGTATATCAAAGATTTAAAATCCTTTCTGCTTGAGCTTTCTCCCCCCTCTCTCATGGAGATGCGCTCCAATGTTATTGGATTACACTTCTCTTTTCCCAAATCCTCTTCTCTCTGGATTGTTGGCTTCCGATTTTTGTTGAAAAAATCGTTTCTTTTTTCCTTCTCGATTGGATACAACATACAAGGGCGCATCTGCGCCCTCGTATTATCTTAAGAATTTCCTTTTCTTTCATTCTCCATCTTAATGGGTTTTTCTTTTTTCTTTTTTTCTTTTTTTTTCCATTTTTTCTTAATAACTTCTTGCATTTTATTTTAAATTTGAAACCTGATGAGAAAAAGCAAGGTCCTATTTCCCTTTGTTATGAATGGGTCTCTCGGAAGCGTCAGGGACAAAAATTGCATTGTTACTGGGTGAACCTCGGTTTATCATCTACGGCTAAAGGTTCAATAAATGATGCCACATTTTATTTTATGCATTTAATTTGCGAGATAAGTGAAAACTTTTTACCTAGGACGGTGCTACAGTGTAATTCTTTTAATATAATTTTTAAATATCATTAAATGAATATACATATTTAATATTACGAATTTTATATAAATTAAAAAAATTAATCATTTTAATGACACATCAAGTTATATAAAAAAAATAAAATAAAAAGAATGTACAAAAATCATTTTCCTTTTTATTTATGTGAAATTGTTTAAATTGCTTAATTACTTATTGCGTATTTAAGTTTTATTATGGTTATTATTGTTATTTTAATTGTGAGAAAATATTAATTTTTTACAATTTTTCAGTTTATTTGTTTATTTTTTAAAAGGTGGTGTTTACTTTATCTAAACAAAAGACAAGTATTAAGGTTCAATAGATTACATGCTGAGATGCAACATTGGTTAGATGTGTTACGCCAAAGAGGTGATTCCACTCCAAACTCCTTCCAAGTTGAGATACTTTTGATTCTCTAATTGGTGATTCTTGGGGGTTGAGTTGAATCTCTCACCAATATATTTTGGTATTTCTCCTACACTCAAATAAAATTCATCGAATAATAATAATAAGATGATTTCGCTTTAATAATCATCAAATCAAATGAAAAACACACTAAAAACATTAATGATTGTGTTATTGATGCATTAAATGAGTTTTCTCTGCTTGAGCAAGGTTATGAGTTATGACTACTAAATCATACTAGAAGATGGCTAACCGTAGCATTTTCAATTAACCAAATCCTGAGGGATGATGCTGGGATTGTGAAAGGGCTACCATTTAGATTTAGAAGAGATTTTATTGAAAAAAATTGGAGTTGTTAATGGATGTCCTTTCACAAAATGAGGGAAATAGATAAGATTATTATGTTTGAATCATTTTAGCATGAAAGATTGGATAGCTTCCAACCGCTGTAAACATGGAGTTAAATGAGCTTTCAAGTTTCAACTGCTGCTTTTGGTTTATTTCCGAAAATTGCAATTCATTTACTGCAGTTAGTTGCATCGTACTAAATGATCTCACTCAATACCCAAGAAAAAGCAATACAATTGGGTGTCTTAAATGGTTGAGAATTTAGAATTTTAAATTAAATATTTGTTTGAGTTTTAAGACCGAGTGATGAGATATTAAAAAAAGAAGAAGTTATCTCCTCTTAAATAATTTACTATTTATATGCACACAACAAAAACACACACAAAAAGGCAAATAGAAAGAAGTACAAAAAAGGTGTAGTCAAATTGGGATCTACCACCACTGCCCAACTCTTGCCTTCAACTGCTTCATTCTTTGAAAGGCAAATGGAAGGCTACTAAAGCATTGACTTTCTGGAGTAAAATAAAAACAAATACAGATTGATCAGTTTCATCATGCATTCAGCAAAAACCCCTGCCCAGCCCTTGCCTTTAACTGCAAAATTAGTCTACATCTTGACATATTAACTACTTTAAGTATCAAAGGGACAACAATTTGTTCTATAATAACAAGTTCAGATTTGGGTTTACAACTCCAATCCGTAAGACTAAGGAATTCACAAAAAACTATCCTTCAAAGAATCAAACCTTGATCGAGACCTACACGAAAAAGAATATCATTCAAGCATTGTGATCTTTAATTTCTTACCTACCTGTAACAAAGTGTGTTTGCATCTACCATGTGAAAGCTGCCAGAATTTAACACGGGATCTATATGATTGGTGAAGAAAAACATATTTCCAAAGCGAGACAGGCCTTTTCATTTTACAAAGATATACAGAACTCCCTTTTATATATCTTACTCAACGCAACATAAAGGAAAACAAGAGAGGAAGAAGATGGAAGAGATTCAGCATAAGATGATGAGTGTCAATGGCATAACAATGCATGTAGCAGAAAAAGGAGAAGGGCCAGTTATCCTTTTCCTCCATGGCTTCCCTGAACTATGGTACTCTTGGCGCCGCCAGATCCTTGCTTTAAGCTCCTTGGGATTCCATGCTGTTGCCCCGGATCTCCGAGGCTACGGTGACACTGAAGCCCCGGATGCCATCAGCGCCTACAACTGCCTGCATGTTGTTGGTGACCTGGTTGCACTCTTGGACGCTATTGGTGCAGAACAGGTGTTTCTGGTGGGACATGACTGGGGTGCCATGATAGGGTGGTACTTGTGCTTGTTCAGGCCAGAAAGAATCAAGGCGTTTGCGTGCCTAAGTGTTCCATTTCGGGCAAGAAATCCGATCATGAAGCCATTGGAGACCATGAGAACGTTGTTTGGAGATGACTACTATATTTGCAGATTTCAGGTTTTTTCTATTTTCTTCCACAACCTGCTTAACTAAATTTCACATGTTAGCCTGCTTTAGGATGGATTTTTCAGAAATGTAACGTGCAATTTGGCTTGTGCGGGACTACACAACAATAACACTTGATGGGGGAGGCCCTAAATGTGGGAGCTGTTCCCAAATTCAGACTGCAAAACGGCAAACTCCAGATTTTCTTGGTTATCTTTGGCAACACTTGTTTCTAAATCTGAACTAATTTGCAGGAACCTGGGAAGATTGAAGCAGCAATTGCTCATTTTGGAACCAAAGAAGTGCTCAAGAAAATTTTCTCAGATCGAACTCCAGGACCTCCCTGTTTGCCTAAAGAAAATGAATTTGGAATCTCTCCTGCAACTCCAATCACCCTACCATCCTGGCTCTCGGAAGAAGACCTCAGTTACTTCGCCATGAAATTTGACCAGAGAGGCTTCACTGGAGGGCTGAACTACTATAGAACTATGGATCTGTAAGAGAACCCAAAAATCTTTTGACAAATTTCTTGCTTTGCTTTGCTTTGTTTGATTGAGAAGTTTCCTCTGTTTTTGGCTGCAGAAACTGGGAGCTTACAGCAGCATGGACCAGGGCAAAAGTGCAGGTCCCAGTGAAGTTCATAGTGGGGGAGCTTGACACGGTTTACACCACTCCAGGGGTGAAGGAGTATGTACACAACGATAGGGGTTTCAAAAATGATGTACCATTGCTAAAGGAAGTTGTTGTGATGGAGGGAGCTGGGCATTTCATCAACCAAGAAAAAGCAGAGGAAATTAACAAGCACATTTGCGACTTCTGCAAAGAGTTTTGATTTACACCATGCTGCTTTGTTTATCCTATGCTTTCCAGCTTGCGACTAATTGCACCAGTTCCATTAGAGATTGAGACATGACTTTATTATTAGTAGTAACATCACTGTTCTATGTTAGACTTGAATTCTAAATTTCTGCTTTCTTAAGAATTCCACATTCAAATCTAATTCCAACAATCACAATCTTTCTAGAAGGTTACTTGTCAACCATCTCCCATGGCAAAGCATTCGACAGAGAAGGTACTTTGATTTGTTTGTCTTTTCAATAAAGAGAAGGTTACGACTTGATAAAGATTCAATTTAACCAGACAGAGCTTTGTTATAAAAGAGAAAGTGATTTCCAAACAATTCATCAGATATAAGTAGACACATGAGAAAGAAACCTAAAGTCTAGCAAAAATTTGGTTTGCAATAGTCAAAAACAACACAATCCTCACAATTAAACACTAGAAACACTAGAATCATCTTAAACCCTGAATCCTCTGCTGTTCCTCCTTCCTCTAGCCCTCTCAAACTTCCTTCCCTTTGACCGGACATATGGCTTGGTGTGGCTGTGTGGAACACCAGGAGCTGGACCGAAGTGCTTAACTGCTTCACGGGCATTCTTTGGTCCTCTAAGGAGAACCTGCAAAAACACACCCCAAAAGTTCAACATAATCAGTTGCTTGTATCAGGTATGACTACACTAAGAACAGATAAGAATATGGCAAAGCTATGAGCTACAAAACAGGATCAAATATAATCCACAGAAAAACAATAACACAATTACAATCACATAAAATAAACTATATTCAATTGAGGGATTACATTTAAGTCAACAGACAAGGAACAGTGCAACCAAATGAGTGATGACATAAACCTATAAACTATCCTCAATTTTAAATTAGGAGAAATTAATATTTGAATGAATATTGCCATTTGGACTTGGCAAACCCTTATAACAAACTAAAGGGGATACGTCAATAATTATGAAACAAAACAAACTCAGACAAGAATAGAGCTTTAATCACAGATTCTGGTAAGCATAACCACCAAGCAGAGATAAAAAATCACCAACAGATTAAATGGTATGTGATGGTAGCCAACAAAATGAAATCCACACACACCATAAAATAGAAACAGAAACTCAGAAGGCATATCATACTTTCTCTAATATTTTCAGAGAAGCAAGCTAAAAAATATTAAGTTTAGAATAAGAGTCATAGAATTCAGAAGAGAAGACAAGGAGGAACTACAAAATTTCACAAAAAAGAACATGCCAACTTCTATTAAAGGCTACACAAGCATTTAAATAAAAACAACAATAAAGCAAAATAGCCACAAAACTGCAAATAAAAGATATTCAATTTAACAGTACTGAGAGCACATACCGTGTTCTGTCCCAATGGAGCCCTCAGAGCGAGCTGGTCAAAAGTCAAGCACTCTCCACCAGCATTCTCAATCCTAGCCCTAGCCCTCTCAGTAAACCTAAGGGCAGTAACCTTCAAGGCCGGAACGTCATACACCCTAATGTCATCAGTCACAGTCCCCACAACAACTGCAATCTTATCCTCCTACAAATCCCACCAAAACAAAATCCATAATAAATAATACAGAATTAGACAGAGTAAACAAAAACTCAAAGATCCAACCAAAACCCATTTACAGAATCAGGAAGAATCATATAAATACCTTTCCTTTCATGAAGTTAAGAAGCCTGGAGAGCGAAAGTGGAGGCTTGTTGACCTTGCTCATGAAGAGGCGCTTCAAAATCACAGCATTGAACTTGCTCCCGGTCCTCCTTACCAGAAATCGGTAAAGCTGTTAAAAGCAAACAAACATTAGATCAAACCCAAAACCCACAACGTAGAACAATCCAAAGACCTATAAAAAGCTACAACCTTGACGAGGAGCTTGAGATAGATATCATCGGACTTGGGGGCTGTCCGATGGGTCTTCTTGCTCTTACCTCCTGCTTTCAAATCAATACCCTGCAGAAAAGAACACAAAGAGAAGGATCAGAACGTCGATTACTAAAAATTTGGCTTGTATTTGAGAGCTGAGAGGAGAAGAGAGAAAGCCAGAGGGAGAGGGAGGCTACCATGGCTGAAGCTTTGTGTTCTGGTGGAGGCGCCGCGAGTGATGAAAGGAAAACACAAAAATGAAAGCTAGGGTTTTGGGTGCATTTTATTTCGTTGTTGGGGGTTGTTTGAGTGTTTTAAGGTCGACGGATCTTCTTTGTACCCTCATCTCTAAGTCGTACACGTGTAAACGTTGAGTCATTTAAGAGTTGAGCCCGGTTGGATCTGAAGCCCAGTATAATGTAAATATGTGATTTGCACTTGGCCCAATTCCTCATCCAATTCGCAAAATCGGCCCACCGGGTGACTTTACCAACCGGGCTAAACACCCAACTGCATACAGCCCTCTTTTTTTTTGAACAGCGCATACAGCCCTCTTTTAATGTCTTGTAATGGGCACCACACCAGTCCAAATGAGGTGTGACAGCAAAATGAGCTAAGAGATAAACGCATCGCTTTAAAAGAAATTATTTTTTATTATATAATTTAGAATTAAAAATATACATGGCATCTAAAACTTTATTTATATTTATTATTTTTATTTTTTAAAATAAAATATTATTTTCACACTTGAGCCTTCGGTCCAATGACTTCAGGCCACTCGTAAAATACATCCTCCTCCCCTAGGCAATGATTCAATTCCAACCCGTTGCAAATTTATTCAAAAAAAAAAAAAATTATCTTCATTTACTTTTTAATTTTTTGTTATATAATACAAAGTCACTAGATGTCTGATGAGATTAATTCTACCTCATCAGAGGTGACAAACATAGTCAGTTAAGTTTGTAATTGTTTGCACTCAAAGGTGCAGAGGAGAGAGTGGAACCTAGGTTTTCAGCAAGGTTCTCATCATGCTTTACTAGCTAAGTCAATCACTAACGAATTTACTTCTAAATTTAAAGTGTATTTCATTAATAACAATTCACTGGTGAGATAACGCATTTTAGTTGCTGAAAACACATTGCATAAAAGGTCTACGAACTGATTAGCCCATTCATTACAAAATTCAGCTTATAATTCCAACATCTGCAGAGAAAAGTGGGCAAGATTTCTCTACAGTATACATGCATGGAAATGAAGCAATGATTCATGAAATTCAGCATTTCAAGAATGGGAAAAACTCAAGTTCAAAGTCGAAGCCAAATGATGTTACTTCTTCCTCAAGTTTCTTTTAGCTTCTACATGGATGCACAACCGCTCCTTCATGAACCATATGATTAATCTAGTCGCTCCATCTGCAAAACAAGATAATAAAAATTAATTACAACTAATCACGCAAAAGTTCAATAAGGCAGCTAAAAGTTAAGATGATGCTGCAACATTGAATAAAACTGTAAAGTCGACATATGCAGATGCAGAATCCAAAGTTCTGCCTTGTTAATGTTGCATTGCAAAAATGAAACTAAAAGATGAAAAGAGGAGAACAAATGAAAGTTGAAGGAGAAAACAAATGTTTAGCCACCAGAGTCCTACAAAGGGATCCATTCAAGGATGTTTTCAATTTTTCACTAGAAGAAAATGTAATGAAAGCAGCCTAACACGATTAGATTTTGTAAAGAAACTCAAAAATAAAAAGAAAAACAAAGTAAAGATTAAACATTAATACCTTCCAAAGGCCATCATTGAGATAATGCATGTTGTCGACACCAATTCCCTTGTTAATATTTCTTCTGTAAACCAAGATAACTCAACTTGTTACACATACAGATTGGGAAGTAGAGAGAATAAAGCCAGGTTTAATAAATGTAAAGCTACAGTAACTAAATGCCACTCACAAACTGCAGTAGCATTATGTTTAGAAAAATAATAAAAATTATGTGGGAAGAAAAATCTGTGATTGAGTAGCAAGATACATGGCTTAGGGAAGAAGGCTATCTGATTCACAGCTCTAGTTTCAAACTTCTAACTAAAATGTTGAAAAACAGTGATAGAACTCACATGTCCTTAGCCGACATCTTGGTAAAGCCAATAGCAAGAGCATGTTGCTTTCCCTCAGCCATTATTGCCTAATAGAATTTTTACGAATCAGTTAGATGGGAAGAAAAAGATGAAACAGAGAGCATGCAGCCCACACACACAAAAGGAAGATGAACTCTACCACAGGAGTTTCAGCTTCCACTTCATCATCCAAAGCACCACCTGGAGAAGTAAGACCAGGACACATTATATTTGCACCAGAAAGGACAAATTTTATTGCACCACGGTCCACTTGTAACTTCTTCATTATGTTTGGATCTGCAATGGAAAAATATAGAAGAATGAAAGCTTTGAATTTGAATATCCAGAAGAAAGCAGAATGCCTATGCTGCATAGCATTATAACTTGATCCTTTTTATTGAAACTAGAAAAAGCAACTGAGCTTTTTAGTTTATTTTAATTGAAAAGGCTTATTAGACACCTTCAAATAAGGGACAATGGGGAATGAAAGTTAGGAATGTGGTAAAAGAAGCAGAAGTTGAACTTCCCAGATGGGGTGTAGATATCAGTATATAGAAAATAATGAAGCATATCACATGAGAAAACTAGAGGTGATTATGGTTCGGTGAAAACCATAATCAGAACTCTCTTGACACAGAGAGAGACCCTTTCCTGTTCAGACATGGGTCCCAAAAAAATAGTTGATATAAGATAGTGACTAATCAGATAAAAATTCCTTACAATTCTAGGTGAATATGGCCCAAACATATCAAAATAAGATAAACCAATTGAAGACTGAAGCACACCGTTTAAAGAGTGAACAATTAATCACAAAACATCCAGATTAAAAATAAAGAAATACTCACATTGATGGAGGAGACGTAGGGTAGGCATGTAAGGTCCATCACGAATATTGAAGAATAATGGAACATTATTCACCAATACCAGATTTAAGTGATTTTGACTGCACAAGGGAAAAGTGTCACCATCATGTCTCAGCTATGTTTGATGAAGATATCAGGAAGCAAACAATTCAATGGCACATAATAAATAACAGAAAAAGTAGAGAATGAAAGAAACCATTTTGCAACAATCAAAGGGGCCTTCTTTGGAAGTAGATCATCCAACACTGGCTCAAGCCCTGGGTACTGCAATAAAAGCAAGACACATTACGATCAAATGCTGAGATATTTTAGAAATCGAGTGCTATCATATCATTTGCAGAAGAAAAAAAAAAAAAAAAAATGCTTATAATCCACTGAATTATGAGATTACATGGACCTTTTTTTTTGTAATATCATTATCTTTTGTAA